TTTTTGTTTTTTTGTAAAAGCTCTGCTAAACTTCTTATGTCTGTTACGCACCGCGGACAACGTGCAGACGTTTGGTCCTGCAAACTGTTTGTTTTTTTAGAAGACCGCATACCTAAAAAGGTCTGCACGTCTTCTTCTTAACACAAATATGAACCAATGTCTTCTAGTGTCTTAACCATTCTATTAATTATAAAGGAAAAAAATCTCATGCTTTGACCATTGCCATCTGTGGGAAAAAAGAAAATAAAAATAAAAGAACTATCAAACCACTATTGGTTGTAATTTTCTTTTTTAGTTCTTTTGCCATTTTGTAATACCTTTAATTAAGAATAATTCACATTTTTTTAAAATTTTTGTAAGACCCAAAAAGCTACGATGTATCAATCAGATTCACTTGATGGTGCGGAATCCCAATCAAGTGAATGATGCAAGATATAATATGGAATAAGAACATAATGGTTAATCTTCAATGCACACTATTATTGAATAGTCGGGTACATAAGATTCTTGAATACACTTGATTCTCTCTTGTTTCTCTCCAAATCACGTTCTAAGCTTATGGCAGCCCCCAAAAACGTCCCACACCCATTACAAGGCCTAAATAACACTATTTATACCTAGACCTAATAACAAAGCCCAAGCCCAAAACTCAAACAAAACAATATTAAGCCTAACCAAAATCACATGTGATTTTGGTCCAAACAACACCAAAACATGGTGTTTTCGGTCGTAGACCGAGAACTCTAATATCTTATGAAAAACAAAGTATAAACCACAATTTATGACCTAATAATCTCCCCCTTGGTTTATAGCTTTCTTTTCTTATGTCCTAACAATCTCCCCCTGGGTTTGTAACTTTCTTTTCTTTTCAATCTTCAATTTGTGCTTGGCTTCAGCTTTTATCTTCGATTTCTTCACAACTTCAAGATGAACATATGAATTTCTACATGGATAACTTCACCTTTAGTAATTGGACTTCCTTCTAATAATTTGACTTTGAACGCACATTGGGAGTAGAGGCTTCTTCAAAATCAGCACTTGCAGCTTTGAGAAACTTCAGAGAAAATAACAGAGAGAATAATTCTTCTGGATCACTTCAACAAGTTCACAGATAACAACAAATTGATTGAAAAGGCTTCAATGCAATCTGTCACAGAACTTCAAGTGCAGCTTCACCCTGCTTCTGGGGTTGAAAGAATGAATGTTGAAAAATAATCTTCACTTCTTGTTCCTTCGAATGAGTATTCTTTAACGATCACCGTTGCGCCTTGAAAAGTAATCATGACTAAAAAGTCCCTGTGGATCACAAAATCATAAAGACCTTTCTCACCACAGTTGTTCAAGAACCCAACCTTGGCTCAGATGGAGACTACTCGCAGTATCTGTGTGAACACGAAGGAACGCAGTGCGATTTGTTGAGTATCGGAGAACTACTCATGGCCTTTTTGATGTTAGCCCTTGTATATCCTAGATCAAAGATCTCAATACAGTTTTTCAAGATAAACAAGTTAATTTGGCCCTTGGCGAGACGTTCAACATAATCGTGCCTTGCGAGGTGCATCTCCCTGGTGCCATGACATCTGTACAGTTTCAGACTTTTAATTCCTTAAAT